AATTGGAGCCCTCGATCGAGAACCTTGAGTGGAAACCAGAGCTCGACCTCTGTCGTTTCCTCCTCTTCTGTCAGCATTACCGCCCCTTCTATTCATTCCGCGATGCACGAGTGGAATAAGCGCACCTCTCCTTCTTCTTGGCATTGGGTGACCATAACCACTTCCGTGTCTCATATGTCCTCCTCCTCCTCCTCCTCCTCCACTCCCACCTCCTCCGCCTCCTCCTCTTTGTTGCCTGTCTCTCCATCCCATATTACCACCACCACCACTACTACCACCTCCACGCCAAATGGGGTTACGATTTCTTTCAGAATCTGCATACGTTCATTTTTTTAAGGACATTGTTTTCTATGTTACAATTTTTAATTAATTTTTTAATATTATTTGTGATTCTTACAATTATTTCGCCTGTCACGATAATCCCGATTGTCTCTGTTGTCGCGATTACTCCGTCCTTCATGCCGGCTTTCATGGGAATATTCTGATCTCGTGTCAGTTCGTGTTCGTTTACTCATTTGCCGTTCACTGTAGCCAGCTTCTTTTGCTTCTGTATTATACTTTTCTATAAGCTTTCTACCCTCTTCTTGGTCGAGTTCGACCCAATTGACAGCATCGAAGGATTCACCAGCAACTGGAGCTCTAAAACTTGCTGAAAAAATACACTATGTGTTATAGCAAGTAAAGAAACAGTAGTAACATCAAAACCTACCTTTCATTTCTAGAAGCATAGAATTTGTAATTTCCTTGCCGTCGATCGGTTTGTGTTTCATAGTACGTGACATAAATTCTTCCTCTGATGGAACTATAACTACTGCTTTCCTCTGGTATCCACAGAAGTTCTTCATTTTACGTCTTTGTGCGGAAGGATATACGTTTGTCTGCAATCGATTTAATGTAAAACATGAAACGAACGTCGAATAAAATGTCGAGCCTCTTAAAATCAAATCCATACCTGATCTAGAATATAATTACGTCTTCTGGTTGAAGCCATTTCGATCAATCTGCCTAACGCGTCGGTACATTTGTCAATAAGTACCTTCCATTGTCCATCGTATTCTTCCTTGTAAGATAATTCAGGGTCCTTGAAAAATATTATTTATTAAAAACATCTACAATTATCCAGTGACATAGTTACAGGGCGTATAATACACACTTTCATTTTATTAATTAGACTACTGAGCCCTAGGATATTGTACATTTTCTGTGGATTTTCAGTTGTGTATTTCGTTACCCAGGTAGTTTTCCCGCAAGCAGGTAATCCACACATCATTATTACTTCGCATTCTTCTTTCTTTTCTGGTCTCCGTGGACCAGGGATTTTATACTGAGACTCTACGTTTCCAATCGAAACGTAGTCCGGTAAAATTTCCTCTGTCCATGGCGTCTCTTGGCCAAAGTTGCAAGCAAAGCTACAATTTTTACTCAAAATGTGCGGAAATAATGGTTTATCACCTAGGTCTGCTTTAGGGATACTAAATGCTGTGCCTTGATCTTTTCCATTAACCGTGCACGATAATATAATATTATCAGATGTTGCATCGAAGTAACATCCGATGACGTCGTCTTTTCCAAATACAAGTCCGTAATCTTCGTACTGATTGTCAGTCAATTTTTTTCCGGTACTGCTATATCCAAAACTAAAATTCTCTTCTCCAAGTTGCATCGACGTATATGGAGTAGACCAACCAATGCGAAGAACATGCGGGTATTCTTCGTTTCCTGCATTGATGGTGCAATGTTGCACTATTTTTGCTTCATAGTAAACTTTTCCGCAAAGAAAACCGTATGATGCTCTTGCACCAGCCCACATGTGCGAAAATCCGTCGTTGTGCATAGGTGTAGCCGTAAAAAATCCATCTTTATCGATAACCAGATTCAAATCAGAATCATCTAAAACATAATAACAGAATTTTTTAAACAATTACCTCGATTATTTCAAGAGACGTGATTTAGTTATTTTCGTTCATATGTCAACATACACCAAGATAAAATTAAAGCTGAATCGTCGATTTCTGGTTCGTTTTCGGTGAGAACGGGTGGAGGCGAATCATGACGATCTTCCAGAGGACTAAACGACCTTTTCCGCTTTCTACCGCTGACAACATTCGTACTTCGTTCTTTCATATCTACATCTGTATCTTCTTCGTGTTTTATTTCTGACATTTCTACATCCTTTCCACGTAAACGAAAATAGGTCAATGATTAAAAATAATATTTCCTGTAGGTACAGTAACATTTTCATGTAACAAAATGTAGAGGACGCAATAGTTTCGAAAAGCATCCGCGATCTCAAACGTGCACTGAAAATCATCTCCCACTGTATCATTCGAAATTGAAAATTTTTTATTTAAATTTCATGTTTTAACTGGAGTCCTCTACATTTTATTGAGATCGCGGATTATACCAGATAAAGTACACAGCAAATAAAGCCAATGAATATTGTACAAATAAATGAAGTATAACATTTCAGGTGTTACTACAAAGTCAAAAGGTATTCTACAGGGTAACTTAAAATTAAGATGCAGGTAGCATATATTTTGAAACTAAAAATAGAGTTTTTTTTTTAAATATACCTGTTCATCTTGTTTTCTATCAATATTACTGTCCTCCTCCTTCTCATTACTGGATAATGCCTCTTTGTCTTCCATGAATTCATCCTCAGCTTTTGATTTATCATTTTCATTGATGTCTACATCTTGTTCTTCCTCCAATGAATCATTTGTTTGTTCTGTTTCAGGAATGTCATTACCAGATTCTACAGTATGAGCACTATCCATAGGTTCTACATTTTTCTCATGTTGGATAGTTTCATGTTTTGTATCATCTGATTTATTACATGTATCATTAATTGTAGTTTCTGTATCATTTTTATGCACATCTGAAGCAGTATCTTCACTTTCTTCTATCACATCTGTGTCTTTTGATGTTTCTTGAATTGATGTAATTACTGTTGTAGATTGTTGTTTTTGATCCACATCATTTTTATCATCTGTTGATTGTTTTGAAGTTGAAACATCAGTATCGCTACATTTAACAGGTGTTTGTACAGGTGATAATTGTAAATCCTTTACATCATTCTCATTTTTATTACTTTCTGTAACACCGGTATTTTTTATTTCATCTTCTTTTACAACTTCAACAGAGTTAACATTTTCATCTTCTATACTTGGCAATAAATCTTTTGTTTCTTTTTCTTCATTTTTCTTAGGTGATACAGGCTCTTCTTTCTCTACTGCAGTTTCGTCTTGTACTGCACCTCCTTCTTGCAGAGCAGCTTCTTCTTGCGCAGCAGCTTCGTCTAGTATAGCAGCTTCGTCTAATATAGCAGCTTCCTCTTGTGCAGTTTCTTCTTGTATGACATCATCTTGCAAGGCAGCATCTTCCTGCAAAGCAGATTCTGATGCTGTAGGCGATGATTCACGAGACATATCATTTTGATCTGATTTTTTTGGAGATGTCCTCCTCCTAGAATATGAAACTCTAGAGGTTCTTCTCTTTTTTGTTGCAGGATCTTCCCTTGGTGTAACAGGGGCAGTTTTAGATAATCTACTAGATTTTTTTGGTGTCTGTGGTACTTTTGCTGATTTTGATGATTTCTCATCACTTTCTTGCATCGTATCCTCATGTGTGTTTTCCGTATTGGCATTTGCTTTTCCCTGATTCACCTCTATAATTAAAAAAATACAGTTATGTTGCAACAGTACAATGGTCAAACATGTACCATTAAAACTGGAGCAATTATACTAAAGTGTACATTTAGATAATGCATGATTTCATTGCAATTACATTTTGAAACAAACAGACGATAAGATAATTAATGGAATTGTAAAAAAGAAAAATTTGTTGGCTAGAAAATCAACAGAAGGGAGACGTAGTGGCGTCGCGCGTACAATTCGCACGTAAACAGAAGAAAGGCGCGCATAGTTTGCGCCTGCAGAACGTTGCAAATATCGGAGAAAAAAACATTTTGCGACTATTGATTATTTTTGAAAAAGACAAATAGGTTATCCTCATCTATTCTAAGATGATTTAACTGTAAAACGCAACAGAAAGCGTTAAGAGAATTATTACCGCCTGATTTGAATGTTTGTCAACAATGGAATACAAAAATATGTAGGTCATTGGATAAAGATTGACATGCCTAAAAAAATTCGGCGCGGTTTAAGATAAGAACATGCAAAAAGAGGAGCTTACGGTTTGCATTTTCCTCTTCTAAGGCCTTACGAAGTCTCTCAACAAGCACTGACTTGACGCCTTTCGTATCGAGTCCACGCTGTGAGAGTTCTAACCGTAATTCGACCACTTTTAACTTTTCCGGATCCATCGCGCGTTATATCTCGCGGTTTCTTTTAATTCACGCACTTTTATCTAGCGGAAAATCTTACGAAAAGCCCATACACGCGCCAGTGACCCGCGTTAAATATACAATATGGCGATACAACTGCAAACAACGCGTTACGTGTTGTAAATGGATTTTATTGGTCAATGTGGCATTTATTTGAACTAACGCCAACTTCACTACTAATAGAATTATTTTTCTCCATTGCATTGGTATACTACAACAATTCTTATTGGTTCCCTTAAGGCGGGATTTCATTTGATTCGTCGAGAGATTACGTATGCACACGAGATTCGTAGAAACCGCCAGTTACGTAGTAAAGCGCGTACCCAGGTTGTAGGATTCATTGAAACTCATCAGTTGGCGAAGGTGGTAGAAGGAACAGGGAAAAATAATCTTGTCGCTAATTTTCACTAGTTGATTAATTTGCAGTAAGAAGAGAACTTTCCACTGTGCCCTCCTCTCTTTCTTTCCTCTGGCCTTTTAATCAGTGCAACTATCTAATCGTTGAATGAATCAGAGTACATATTCTTCAAGTTAGCGTCACCGTACGGTAACCTCACGAAGGATCTCGCGTTCACCTTGTGGTCGTCAATGTTTATCCAAGGTTTATCAGGTTTTCATATTGTTTTCTGATTTTTTCAATCATTTATCATGAACGCAATAAACGTGAATTGGTTGCATTCTGTAGAAGGAGAATCGTTAATGCATCACTTTTATGTAAATACGTCGAAGAAGAGGAGATTTTACGGTAAACAGTGATAACGAGAGGAACGAGTTTTCACTTCACGGAATCGTTGGATGTCGTTTCATTTTTGCAACATCTTTTAGGTATTCTCGAAAGACCACCTTTACCATCTTCGATAGAAGAAGTTACATACAAAATTTTTATGATCGGTAGATCTGGGGTAGGAAAAACGTCGGTCGTGGCACGTCTCGCTGGAACATTAGAGTCCAGTAATTATGCGGAAACTAACGGGATAAAAAAGACGAATGTATTTTGGCCAGTTAAGATATGGGACAAAGTTGTGTTGTTTAAATTACAGTTTTGGGATACTTCTGAAACAAGTATTAAAAAATACAATCACATATTGCCTGTAGGTAGGATACTAGGAGGATTTACAAGAATAGACTGTTAAAGGATCAAATTGAATCTGAACCTATCGATATTATTGAAATTTTTAGGCTTGCAAAGATAAAGTTGATGCTATATGTTCAGTATTTTCTTTCGACGATGCAACAGGTTTTAATGATGTTCCATATTTGATGAATACTATGGCAGCTATAAAAGAAAAGCCAGCAAATATAGTAATAGGAACAAAGTAATTTATTGAACAGAGTTCTTCACTTATTTTCTCTGTGTAGCCTAAGGTGTAGCTAACAGGGTGCCGAAATTTTGTAGATTTAAACCATGGTCCAGTTCTACCATAGAAGATGCAAGGATAAAAGAGTTTGAGGATAAATGGAAAGTTAAAGTTATCAGAGTTGATATAAATAAGCTTTCTACAAGGTCTGAAGTATTTGATTGTTCTTATCAGTTGAATGCTATATGTAATATTCTATGGAATAGAGATAAAGAATTTATATCTAAACAAATGGGACAAAGTTGAGCAATTTAAGCAACCAGGTATCAAATTTTGAGGATAGCTGCAAGAACTTTTTTTTACCTGAATTTTAATAAAAGTGAAATATTTATAATTGCGTATTGATTTTTTTTTTTTTTTTCACCTAAACGATAGTAAGTTAGAAACATTGACCTCAGGATAAAAAATGTTTTCAACGTAGTTTTCCGTTGCAAGTTTTGGCGGGAATTTAACGGTATAGAGTTGGTAACACTTGTACGCAACTTCGGAAGAGTCAGGTGTTTGCTAGTGGCGGCAAAGTTAGGTGCATGTACGTTGATTCGTGTCTTTTATCTTTCGGAATAAGAATTAAAACTCTTTTCACAGGTACGTTGCATCGTATCTATTTCGATACAAACAAATTAGAAAATTGTAATTACTAATGTAGCGCCTAAGCATCGATATTTAGGTTATAACAGCATATTAACGTACAATTTATACGTATCTCTGTGTATTTTTGTACCAACGATGGTCATTGTTAAGATAAAAAAGCCTCGAAAGTGTTGGTTCGATTATCAGATCGAGTCGTTGTGATAATATTTTAACTGTTATTTTATAACGACACTCGAGCGCTCTCAGATATCACGTGATGCGTAGGCGCGCGTAATACAAAATGGTTGCATAAGTTCGATTTGAACGAAAACCCGTTATCGGTTTGAAAATTGGATTCTAGACATGATAAGTAAAAGAATTCTGTTAATGGGGGGAGCAGTGTTGACCACCGAGCTTATCTGGTATTTGTACAGACGTTTCGGTAGTTTCGAAGAAAAAACTTGGATTGTCCGCGCAGTATGGAAGACGAACGCTCGCAAATCGAAACAAAACATATCCAAGGTGATGTTTTTTTCAAACGAGTCTAACCTTTGCCGGGCACACGCCTCTAGCGACGAAATCTGCCTCAAAGACTGTTGTCCAGTTCGGTATTTGAGGTAACGCGTGATTGTTCGTCGAGTTTCGAAATATATACAATCAACGTAAAGGGCCTGTTAATGTCGTATAAACGTTACAGAGAGGTGGAAAGTTACATAAATCGAGCGGAACGGAGTTTGGACGTTTGCATGTACATATTAAGTTGCCAATTACTATCGAATGCCATCGTGAACGCTCACAAACGAGGAGTGTTTGTTAGAATAATAATGGACCGTCATATGGCTTCCAACGAAAGTGCGCAAACAGCTTTATTTTACAACAACGGTAGGTAATACTTGAATCATTCGTCATTAACGACATTTGGTTCGATACCTTCTCTCCGATCAAACGTTAAAATTACGCGCGTTTCAGGTGTCCCGATTAGATTGAAAGATCTAGGTGTTCTGATGCATCACAAGTTCGCGATCGTGGACAACGACATAGTGATTACCGGTAGCATGAATTGGACGATGTCCGGATTCTTCGGAAATTTCGAGAACCTGCTGGTGACTAATCACCGTTTACTGCTACAGCCGTTTATCGACGAGTTCGACAGTTTGTGGAAGACGTTCTCAAATTTCTCGAATATGTATTTGGAACCATTAATCGAACCATTGGTCGCCAACAGTGGCCAATAATTTAGTAAGTGTTTCTTTATCGTTGAAATTTTTCATCTGGAATATCGAAGCGAAAGGCGTTCTCGAGAGCGTTCGGTTTGACGTCAAAGAAGCCGAAAGAGAGGTCGTAAAACTCGAACGCATGTTAGCGGTAGGAGGTGTAATAACGTATGCAGAAATACTTGGGGAGATAGAATGCGCGTGGTATCGGTCAACACGTGTGAAAGAGCACGATGCAGCTGGGGAACGCTGCTCTGGACACACAGGTCTAGGCGATACGCGTCCCGACGCGACGTGACGCTGCTCTCATCGGCCGATAAAAGTGGAACATTGTCCGTATATATAAATAGGTTAGCCTGTATGAAAATAGACGTCGGGCTGTTGGACCGGAGGATCGATGACGAGATCCCCGGCGACGAGCCGTCCGTGGCCTCAACTTTCTTTCCCTTCCTCTCTCTGATACTGGAAATTCACGGTCTCTCGGTGTTGTGTCGTCACACTACGCCTCACTACGACGTTTGCCATTCTTTTTTTTTTTCTTTTCCTCCCTCGTTAGTTCCACTTGGTTTATTCCGTTCCGTGCGTAAGGATTATTTAAGAGTTCACAATCGAAGGAGGGAAGGAGTTATTGAATCATAGGTACCGAGTATATCAACGGGTAATAGTACTTCCTCGTCACTCGATATTGTTTGCATCCACGTGTAAGCACACACGCACGTTAGTGCACGAGGTGAATACGTTGGCACGTTGTATGAAAAGCATGTAGCTTGTGAAAGCAAACGATTAAGAATAGCGCGCGATGCGTGGAAATAGCACGGTGCAAGCCTAAAATACTCATTGTATCCAGATACGTTAAAAGCCGGATGCACGTTGGCGCAGCTTGACGTTTGCTAATCTGCTTTCTCTGTATCACGTCTCACGTTCAATAGCAGAGGGAACCGTATTGATATTTAGGAAAATGCACCGTTCTAACCAACGTCCAAGTTGTTTCTCGCATTTCCTCCATCCAGAACACCATTTCGAAACACGGCCGCCAACTCGTGCGATATATTTTCCGATTCCACTTTGGTTACTACCACCAACCACGAATAGGTTCGAAGAAATTCGTGTTCGGTAGCAACTGATACCTTTCAATCTTTGATTCACCTTCGACGACGAAGGTACGATTAGCTATATAGGAAATAAGCACAAGACTCGAGCAAAAACTAGGCGTCTCGTAGGTCAAGGGTGTGTCAAATCGGACAAGTGGCACGTTCGCGATGCCCGCGGATTCGAGAAAAGGAAAAGGTTAAAGGTCAAGTATTCCTCTATGGTACTCTTAGTTGCTGCTGCTGCTCTCTTTTCCATTTGACTCGCTGGGATAGAAGGACAAGAAGAAAGAAAAATGTTTCGCATACAGGTAGCCGTTTCGCTCGTTAAAACATTGCGGAGCGCGGGGCATTCTTTTCCCGCAACCCTTTCACCTCCCTCGAGGAAGCAGATTCCTTTTAAGCAAGCGAGCAGTTTCGTTAGGCTGTTTGGATATTTTTTCCTTTGAATTTGAACGTTCGAAAAAGCTCGAATTTGCCAGAGGTATAGTAGGAAGAGAGAGAGAGAGAGAGAGAGAGAAAGAATACTATCCTTGATAGATTATATCGCAATTATTTTTAATGCATTTATTTCGATATCGTTTATATAGAAAACATCGCTTCGCGTTAACGGAGACCTAACGCGTTTTAGTAGTCGTTGCACATTTCTTCCCCGTTCGTTTCTCCATTATCTACAACGTGACATTTCTTTAAGTTCTACCAGTTACAAATTTCGCACACGTAGGGGAAGAATTGCGCATTATTACGTATGTATAGCCTGCTGATTTATTTGTTTTTTTTTCTCTTTTTTCTGTTTTCTTCTGTGGTAACATAGCTCTACCAAATCGTGTATCACCGATCACTTCTATTATTCGCTCCTTCTACCCATAAATTGCTAGAAGAATATATGCGCGCTATGTGTGTATGCATACGCTCTATCGCTTAACGACACTAAATACCACTTAATTTCTGTTCGAGTTCTTTGAAATTTCGCTCCATCGGAACGTCCGTTCCCGTTTTTTTTTTTTTTCACGTGAGAGATCGCTTCTTTTTTTTCTTCCTCCTTTCATACACGGAACGGAACGGAACGAAATCCTTCTTCGATTCCACGCAAGGCCTCGTACAGTGACCCCTACCGGTTACCGTTCGTTACACTACATACAATTATCATAATGTAATAAATTACTAGGAAATCCGCAGTCATTATTGTCTCTATAGTCGACACCGAATAACACCGATCGCAGTTTACGCTCGCGTTCGCCGCAGTCTTAACGAGTTTTCTTTTTTTTTTTTCTTTTTTATCACATTCGTTTCGTAATTGTTTACTTGGAAAAAAGCAGAGAATCGCCCGTGTGTTGTGTGAGTGGAGAAGTGGATCTTTAGGCAATTCTCGTCTCGAAGCTGTATTCGACGCGAAAGGAAGTGTACGAAAGTGGCTGGTACGTGAATACGTGTATATACGCAGATACATTCGTGGATAATTGGTCCGCTCGTAGAGAGAGAAAGGAGAGAAGAGGGTAGGGATTTTATCGGTCGACGTTCGTCGTTCGTCGTTCGAAATTCGGCGCGAGGGTGTGGAAAGGACGAAGCGCTCGTTGGTAGCGTAAGAGTCACGGCGAGTTCGTCGCCGGCCTTTCGAACGTTGCTTTGGCACATTGAACAGGGGACGGAGCGCCGTGTTCGTCGCGGGCGGCCTCGAAGCCACCGAAACTGCACTTTCGTTGGTGACGATCGCTTCTGAGGCAAGGTTCGCTAGAAGCTTTTACCATCTCTCACATACTCTCTGTCCCGAGGCTACCGACGAAAGCCGGTTCGGCGATGTTCGAGTCGCACTGCATCACCCACTCCCAGATCCTCTTGGTCACCACTTTTTGATCGACCGTCGTCTCCAGTCCGTAACTGTTGAGAAGCTTCCTCAGCCTGTTCTTGTTCTCGTCCACGTTCCGTTGATCGTCCAAGATCGTGTCCAGATACAGCAGACTGTCTGCTCTCCTAGCTATACCCTCGCTAGCGTCTACCAACGTAGAAGTAGCGCTGTGACTGATTTTGTTCACGCACCACGAGTCTTTCAGATACTTGTTGATTTCCGTGACATGCGGCCTCTTCTCCGGCTTGTGCTCGAACGTTCGCCTAAAGTATCTGAGTAACCTAGGCGTGAATCTTCTGAACGTCGGCGGAACTTTGGTCGTCCTCCTCTTGAGCCATCTCTGGAAGGCCGAGTAGTCCGGATCTTGAATGAGATCAGCCGTCTGCCACGGCGGATTGCCCGTTAGACAGACGAAGAGGACGATGCCGAATTGCCAGCAATCGGCGCTCCTCTTGCACGCGTACCTCTCGTTTTTCACGATCTCGTAGATCTCCGGCGGTTGAAACGGCAACCAGGTGCAACGAATCTTGTTAACTAGCGTCCCTTCGCGTCTGGTACACCCGAAATCGCAGAGCTTGATCTTAGACATGTCCAGCGCGAACACCAGCACGTTCTCGAGCTTGATGTCTCGATGTGCCAGCTGTTTCGAGTGAATGAAATCGAGCGCGGAGCAGAGCTGACTAGCGATCCTCTTGCACGCTTCCTCGCTCAATCCTCCGGCCCTGACGTTGCCCGCGAGATCACCGTACGGGGCGTATTCTTGCGCGAACACGAAACACTTCTCCGCTTTGAACGCGACCGCGTACGAGCACAGAATGTTCGGATGCGGGCTCAAATGGTACGAGTAGTGAAACTCGCGGAAAAAGTCCTTCTCCGTGGTTAATTCTTGGTGGACGGCTTTCAGGACGACCCTCGTGCGCGTCGCTCGGTGAGTCGCTAGTAAAACTTTGGCGAAACTCCCCTCCCCGAGTGTCTTCTCCACTTCGTACTCCTTGGACAGTTCCAGCTCCTCCAGGGGAACCTCCTGCACTCTGTGTATTCCGGACTCCTTTTTCTCGTGTAGTTTCATCTGCAACGAAAAGAGAGGACGCTCCGTTATACACCGGTAACCCTGAAAATCGATCGCTCCTGCTCCAACCCCCGTGTAATCGGTAACGTTCGATGAAAAAGTTTTAGACTATCGTCGAGTTGCTCTCGCACGGCTAATCAACCGCGGAACACGTTTACCATCTTGGGTAGGCTTTCGTTCCCTACCGATTCAACAATCGCCCTAAGAATCGCCCTAAGAATCGCCCTTGCCCTTGCTCGTTCAAACACACTAGGTGTGACGTTCCAGACAGGGCTTTCGTTCCCTACCGATTCAACAATCGCCCTAAGAATCGCCCTTGCCCTTGCTCGTTCAAACACACTAGGTGTGACGTTCCAGACAGCTGAAGCTCTCTCTCTCTCTCTCTCTCTCTCTCTCTCGACAACGATACGAGAAGAAGTTGGAGAAATTGGAGAAGATTGGCGGGTACGGGCCGTGTAGGCGAACGGCGAAGGACGAAATATTGGGCGGAGAGGCGAGGGGAGTATGCCGGAGGTTGGCCGGAGGTTGGCCGGGTGAACCCAGGACCTTTTCAGCTGCCTAGATCAATAGCAAGGATTTCGCTGCGGCAACGCGCGTCAAACCGTTTCGTTATCGTTCCACCGTCGTCGGCGATTCCCTGGTTCGGATTAAAAGCCCACCGACGAGGGAAAAGGAGAAGGAACGATTCGTTTCGCTTGGAGAAAAATTTATCGATCGTTTGGAGCGCCGCGCCGTTCCGTTCCGTTCTGTTCCGTTCCACCCGGTTCGTAAGCCACTTTTCTCGCTCGGTGATTCACTTTTGTGGGAAACGATTTACGTTTAAACTTCTCCCAGTTCTCATCTCCAAATCGTTCCACCGTTTTCTTTTCTTTCTTTCTTTCTTTCTTTCTTTCTTTCTTTACTTCTCTGCCGGTTCTCACTGGTTCGCTCTGACAAGCTTTTCGACGCGGTTATATTTAGCATTTCTGTTTACCGGGGGCTATTTTAACGCGTGCGAGAGATTAGCGAAGTAATATTTAGGCTTATGTCTTTATGCGTAACGAGTATTTCGAGAGAAAGGCCGAGGAACGAGAGGGGGGAGAGGTTGAATGAGAAAAACCCTACGTTCGAGCTTACCACGATAGTAGTAATCCGATGGTGAACGACGAGAAAGGTGTCACAATTTTCCACAAATGATCGCTCCTTTGAACGGATGGCCCTTCGGTTACATCTTCACTGTAGCACAATTAACCGGGTAACTAAGCGAAAAACGCGGCGACGTGTTGGATTGTTGGACTTTTCACGTTTCACAAAAATCGAGAAAAACCGCAACGTCCCTCGATGTCACATTTTCAGCAATGCGCGTATGTCGCGTCTGGAGTCGTCGCGACGCCCTGCGTCGCTTTTATAGACCCGGCCGACACGCGCAGACGTAGATCGGAAAAGGGTACGGAACATCGATGCGGGGATCAAACATCCCCGTAATTCCTCCGCGATTAAACGTTGCATGTTCCGTTAAATAACCGCCAGATGCTTCTTTCCCTCGATTCGGAAGAAATCTTTCGAGACTGTTTCTCGCCGGCGCGTGTATATCCCGTCCCCATCGGCATATGTAACAGTACTTATGTATGTACATATATCGCGCACTTCGCTTCTCGGGATCGCGGAGATCGCGGAGATCGCGGAGATCGCGCCTTGCCCAAATAATACGCGTACTGCCCGAGGTGGAATTTCATTTAAACCAGAAAGTATTTTTAAAATGTATGTCAAGTATACCATGTCCATAGGGATGGATCGTACATACCAGTGCAACGCCGGCGATATCGGAGATATAAATAGAGAAAACCGTTACGGTGGAAGTAGGTAATACGATGTATCGTGTAACTGTTTCGTTTCGATTCGTTAGAGCCGATAGTACCGCTGTTAACGCCGACGTTGTCCAGATCTACGCTCCCGAAGATCCAACAATTTTGCGAAAAGTCACTTTTCTTCGAATCTGCCATGGGGTTCTCTTTATTCTTCAATTTGTACACATACGATAAATTAAACACAAGTATAAACGTCCAGCGCTATACGTATACAATACAACTAGTCTGAAATACTTTCGTTAAAGCGTAAAATGTACTTTCAGCAGCTACACGCGCTACAGTAGGAGCACGAACTAAAAGAGGAGCTAGAATCGGAGGAAGACGATTCGTCGGAGAAGTCGTTGCTGGAGACGATCTGCCCGTTTTCTGTAAGGAACAAAGTGCAGAGTAGATGAACCGCGAATCACGGAAAGGTGTTGAGAAGAAGAACAGCGTACCTGGACGATAACGCATTTGTTTGACGATGCGCATTACGTGGTGATTAAACTCTACCATAGCTCGTTCCGCTTTTTTCTCGTGCCTCCGAATTTTCCTCCTCTTTCGTCTCTCCCGTTTCTCGATCAGTCGTTTTCTCTCTGCAGGACAAACGGTCGATTATTGAGAGCCTGCAAAATGAGAACCACAAACCGTTTACCTGTGTTGCCCGTTCTTTCCTCCGTTTTCTTCGATCTTAACCGCGTTAAAGTCGCCTCGTTGCTTTCCACGCTCTTTTCTTCTTTAATCCTCGTCGTCGTCGTAGCGTCGCATTTGCGTTTCACGCTCTTCTCAGCGGCTACCGATGTGCTACAGCAGCTGCCGTTGAAACGCTTCGCGATAACACCTTCCTTCCCGCTGGAATTGCTAATTCGCGAACTGTCGCGTTTCGGCGTGCTGGTTAACACCGGCAATTTCGAACCCGTGCTGTTAATCGGCGCACTTCTCGCACCTCTCATTATCGGCGCTACGTATGCTGGTTTGCGTATCATCGAGACGTTGGCTCTCGCTCTTCTCGCCTCTCCCTCAGGCTTTCCTTTCGGTTTCTCTTCTCCTTTCTTACCAGCGTCGCACTTGGCTTCTTTTATCGCCCCGACGCGTTCATTTTTACGCGTTCTGGAAGCATTCGCGACTTTCTTCTCCCCTTTTCTCCTCGCGATGTTTCTCGGAAGATTCGCCGTTAATTTTCCAACTTTCTTCGTCTTTTCCTCCGACACGTTCGTCTTCCCACTCTCGCTCCTTCTCGAGGCTTGTTTTTCACTCTCCTTCGGTTTTCGTCGTCCCCCTTCCGCCGCTGCCCCTCCGTTGGTTCGGCTCGTCTCGCCTTTACGAGTCGTTCTCTTACCATCTGTTGTTAATGTCGACGATAAAACGCTGGATTGGTGGAAGCATGTGAAAGAGGTTCCTTTCTGTTGCTCACCTGCGGGGGCGAGTTTCGGGTTGACGGCGACATTTTGGTTAAATTGGTCGAGGATGTTTTGCAGGAAATTGTGCTGGACGAAATCGTTGATCTGATTCCAAGGATTGGCCTCGAGCAGTTGATCCATATCGAGGAGACCGTCGATCGCGGGGAACGAGAGGGAGGCTCTTCCTAGAATCGACTTGCGGTCCATTTCAACAAAGGGGAACACGCGTGAAAGGTGAATAAGAGGAAGACCTCAAGTCGAACCACGAAGTGAACCTGCGTCGGTACGCGTTAGCGTAGACAGATGAGAGAGAGAGAGAGAGAGAGGCAAAAAGAAACAAATACAAGATCGATTTTGCTCGGTTGCTTACTTTCAAACTCCCGTTCTACGTCAGACCCGTGTATTTTCGGTTTTCTCTCTTTCCAGATGAAAACGAACGCCGCCGTTAGCAGAGAAAACGAGACGCGAATTCACGCCCGCCTCGAACAAAACGACTAATTTAAGAATCGCGAAAACTCGCTCCCGCCTTCCGACTTGCAACCAACCTACACCCGCTTTCAACGAAAACTCGATCGTTACTGATTCAAATATATCCTAGGTTCTAGGTAATGAATCTCGATTATCAGGAAAGGTCGCCGCGTCCCAGTTGTGTGTGTGTGTTTATTCTAATTTAACGGTTATCGGGAAGGCGGCGAAACCGTTCCGAAGCATTTTGAACGATTTCAATTTTCCTATTTCACCGAGCGAGGAGCTCGGCAACGAAAGAAAGTTAAGTGTGACGCGAGGAAATGTCAAGGTACGTGGACCGAGTGACGTCACTTCTTTCCCTGCAACTTGTCCCGAGTTTACGCCAGCGGGGGAACTAAGCCTCGCTTATAATAGCGTTTAATCGCCTGGAAGAGGGTTCGAATGACGTCACTTTGCGATATCGGCCGTCTGTGAATGTCGTTGCACCTGGGACTCGATTACAGTCCCATTCTCTGCGTAGGTACGTTCGATAAAGGAAGAGGAAAAAGACGAGAATGCGTGTATCTTGTATATCTGGTCTCGGAACGGAGTTTCGAAGAATCTCTCGTTTCTAGATAAATAGGTGTAATCGTGTGTCGGACCCCCTACAGAGCTCCCAATATCTCTTCCCCTTCTTCAAATAATATTTACGCGTTCAGAATTATTCCCGCACTTTGTTCTCGACGTCGCAACTTCACGCCGACATTCAGCATGCCTAGATATCTATTATTTCAGTGCCTGGCCGATATATTTCCTCCAAGTGTCCAACTATCGTTCGGATCTTGTATAAAAGAACGTAAATTCTTACGTATATATTCCGAGCACGCAGTTCAGTTCCGAACTGCGACTGCATTTTTTCTCCTCCTCCTCCTCCTCCTCCTCCTCCTTTTCCCGCGAACGATCGTTTTGTCGCGCGATCGGCGGAGATATCGGGAGGCGCGATCGAAAAAGGAAACGATCCGACCAAGCACTGCCCCGGGGCGCTTGCTTCGCTCATCGAAATAAAACGTCGATTCATGTTGTCGAACCAGTGTCGCCACGTGTTGTATCCGGTGTATAAAAGTATCGCGATCGGTGCGTCGGAATCAGGGAACACAGTTGGCCGCGGTTACTCGAGCGAACATGATCGAGGTAAGAGATCGAGAGAGAGAGAGAGGAGGGGTCCGTTTCGATCGTTGCTAGGATTGTAATTAAACGGTACATTTTCCTATCGTTACAGATCGTCTTGCTGTTCGTCGGTGTCGTTGGAACTTTGGCGGCTGGTTTACTCTGCTCTTCCGGGCTCGGAAAATCTCGACGAGAAGACCATGCCTTTGTCCAAGTTGGTTATCCCGCCGCAATCGCTGTCAGCCAGAGAGGAAAACCTTCCTGGAACGAAAAACCTCGCGGAGAAACGTATCCCCGAGAAAATTTTGCTCAAGTTGATGCAATCACGGGAAGTCGATCAGCGAAATCCTTGAACGACTCGGTGAGATTTGCAACGGACTCTTTCCGTGCAATCGTAGATATTAAGCTAGTGTTAAAGGGAAATGTACCATCTTATACGTAGTTCGTTCGGAGCTAATTCGTCGGACGATGCCAATATTACTCGACTACATTCCTTCGCGTCTTCCTTACTCCATCTGCGCACTTTCCTTTATTTTACCGTGTTTTATTGCAAAGTAATTTATATGCGTCGTATAACTATACTCGTGCGATAAGACGTAAAATGTTTGTTGCAAAGAAGGGAAATAAATTTTAATTGAACAGAGAATAAAGTCACTGATACGTCCTAATACCAGTTGCTGGTTCTTAATAGATCTACTTATGCACACATGTATCGTTCAATGTTTTTTTTTTCTTTTTTTTTGTATCACGGTCGGACACGTGTGCTGCTTTACCATTTTCATGTCACTTTCGACGTTACCGACTTTCGAGGCTTGACTCTTTTAGAATTGTTAGCTTTATCGACTTTAGCGGGTGAGCTAAATGTAATTGTTAAATCACCACGTTAAATCGTAGAGGGCGCGAGAAAATCAGTGCTGTGGAGATATCAACATCTGGCAGAAAAGAGGAAGAAAGATGGAAATCGTAGATCGTTCAGGCGCAGAGGCAATCGAGCGAAAACAAGAGTCGAGAAAGAAGATTATTATTGTATTTATATTTTTATCGATTTATGGCTAAAAAGTTACTTGGTGAAAATATATTTGAGTTACTGTGAAAATACTCGTACGGTAAAAACCTACGTACGAAGACAGTCTCCTGTTTCCTACTTTTCGCTGGAGTAGGTAAAGTAGAGCACGTCTCGTAGCAATCTGCGTAGCATCTGCTTTTTTTCTAAGTAAATATTTCAGCCAACGTTACTTCAAGCAAGACGTGCAGGATCAACCTAACATCAGACACGAGGTAAAGGATACCCCTTGCGTCTTACAGGACTTTCTGTCCAAGGCTTTCGAGTCGACAAGACTCTTACTATTTTCGTGTCGTTACCAACGTTACCGATTCAACATAGAATAGGATTACAATATTAGTAGTAATTGGAATTGGAATTAAACTTAACTATGAAATTACAAATAAAAAAGTAACATAATTGTTTATCAGTAGATGATTCATCATATGCGCGAGTTTTACTGTTGTCCAAAGATCGTGAAGAGTTTTACTCATGCGATTCAATATACGTAAGTATTTACTTACAATTAGACGGGCTCACTACGAAAGATAACACGTCGAGGTATAATACAGAAACGAGTTAGATAAGGAAAGAAATAACGGTAGACAAGGATAGTACTAGAGGAATGAAACACGAGTTGACAAGGATAGCAATAGTGCTGTGCGTAAGACAAGGACAGAAACAAAATGGCGAGTGTAACCTGACACCATCTCGTGTTTGGAGACGCGCACTACGATTTCTTAACAGGATTACAGAATACAAACAGAGGTATTAGACAAGGAAAGCACTAGTGTGCGACAAGGATAAAGAGAGAACGTTTCCTATTGGCTGGCGGGAGCCCAAGCTCCACCAATCACGGACTAAACCAAGTCGGTCGGTGAAAAATCATTAATATCTCATTAATTACGATGATTCTGTGAACTTTTAGAATTGAAGAATAAAGTGTGGACCTTCAGAAACTTTCACATACACCTTTTAGTTCTCTAGACCCTTTCGATAATTAGTTATTAATAATTTTAATACGTGATGTCGGGAACGATACCGCATACCGTCAAGTGTCTTTCCGGATTTTCAATAATTTCATAGCTTTCTACTAAATTCTCATGCAACTAACTATACGCGCTTGAAAGGCAGGTCCGTTAGCTACATTCTTCTATAATTTTTATTAACATATCTCTGATGGTTTGATAGTTATTTGACATTCTTTAGCTGAGTTCTTTCTTTCTTAACACACGTCGCATTCAAGGATATCACATTTCTGTTATTTCCATGGAAATTCATTGTTAATTATGCACTTTCAAGCAAGTAGAATGTAGAATGGACTTTTCTCTACATTCTGCAATGAGTTTAGTAACCATAAGTGGGGGGGTTTATTAGATATTAGCAATTGTTTAGAACAGTTGACTATGCATGAGAACAGTAAATGGGGGACTCTTCCATGTACCGTCTAGTAACTCCTAAATTAAACCGAATATGTTAATAAAAATTATACGAGAATGTAGCTAAAGGAGTCACCTTTCATATGCAGAGGTACAGAGTAGACAAGGATAGTATTAAGCGAGTTACACATGGAAAGGAAAAGGGGTAGACAATGGTAGAAATATAGCCGTGTGTTAGACAAGGAAAGGAACGGGGATAGACAAGGACAGAAAGAAAAATGGCGGGTGTAACCCGACACCATCTCGTGTTTGGAGACGCGAACTACGATTTCTTAATAGGATAACAGAATATAAACAGAGGTATTAGACAAGGAAAGCACTAGTGTGCGACAAGGATAGAGAGAGAACGTTTCCTATTGGCTGGCGGCCATCTAAGGTCCACCAATCACTGGCTACATCAAGTCAGTCAGGGAAAAATCATTAATAACTCCATAATTGCGACGATATTGTGAACTTTTAGAATTGAGGAATGAAGTGTGGACCTTCGGCAACTTTCAAATATACTTTCTAGTTCTCTAGACCCTTTCAATAATTAGTTATTAATAATTTTAGTACGTGATGTCGGGAACGATACCGCATACCGTCAAGTATCTCTCCGGATTTTCAATAATTTCATAGCTTTCTACTACATTCTCATGCAACTAACTGTACGCGTTTGAAAGGCAGGTCCGTTAGCTACATTCTCCTATAAGTTTTGTTAACATACTCCTTGCAGTTTAAATGTTATTAAATATTATATGAGAGAGTCTCCTTTCCATCGTACTCGAGCATAGTCAACTCTTATAAATAATTGCGAATATCTACGAATATATTTACGAATTGTGAATTTTTAGTATAGAAGAATGAAGTGTGGACCTTGAGCAACTTTCGCATATAGTGTTTGGTGCACTAGACCTCTTCAATAATTAGTTATTAACAATTTATTAGGTGATGTCGGTATTGATACCGCATACCGTCAAGTGTCTTTCCGGATTTTCAATAATTTCATAGCTTTCTACTAAATTCTCATGCAACTAACTATACGCGCTTGAAAGGCAGGTCCGTTAGCTACATTCTTCTATAATTTTTATTAACATATCTCTGATGGTTTGATAGTTATTTGACATTCTTTAGCTGAGTTCCTTCTTTCTTTACACACGTCGCATTCAAGGATATCACATTTCTGTTATTTCAATGGAAATTCATTGTTAATTATGCACTTTCGAGCAAGTAGAATGTAGAATGGACTTTTCTCTACATTCTGCAATTAGTTTAGTAACCATAAGTGGGGTGGTTTATTAGATATTAGCAATTGTTTAGAATAGTTGACTATGCATGAGAACAGTAAATGGGGGACTCTCCCATGTAACGTCTAGTACCTCCTAAACTAAACCGAATATGTTAATAAAAATTATACGAGAATGTAGCTAAAGGAGTCACCTTTCATATGCAGAGGTACAGAGTAGACAAGGATAGTATTAAGCGAGTTACACATGGAAAGGAAAAGGGGTAGACAATGGTAGAAATAGTGCCGTGTGTTAGACAAGGAAAGGAACGGGGATAGACAAGGACAAAAAGAAAAATGGCGGGTGTAACCCGACACCATCTCGTGTTTGGAGACGCGAACTACGATTTCTTAATAGGATAACAGAATATAAACAGAGGTATTAGACAAGGAAAGCACTAGTGTGCGACGAGGATAGAGAGAGAACGTTTCTTATTGGCTGGCGGCCATCTAACGTCCACCAATCACTGGCTACATCAAGTCAGTCAGAGAAAAATCATTAATAACTCCATAATTACGACGATTTTGTGAACTTTTAGAATTGAGGAATAAAGTGTGAACCTTCAGCAATTTTCACATATACTTTTTAGTTCTCTAGAACCTTTCAATAATTAGTTATTAATAATTTTAGTACGTGATGTCGGGATGGATACCGCATACAGTTAAGCACCTTTCCGGGTTTTTAATAATTTCATAGCTTTCTACTAAATTCTCATGCAACTAACTGTACGCGTCTAAAAGGCAACTCCTTTGGCTACATTCTCATATAATTTCTATTAACATATTCGGTCTAGTTTAGGAGTTATTAAACATTATATGAGAGGGTACCCTGTACATCGAACTCGTGTATAGTCAACTGTTGTAAAGAATTGCTAGTATCTAATAAGCCACACCACTTACGGTTACAAAACTAATTGCAGAATGTAAAGAAAAGTCCGTTCTACATTCTCCATGCTTGAAAGTTCGCAACGAGTCATGCATTTGCATTGAAATAACGAAAATGCAATACGCTTGAATGCGACGTGTGTAAAGAATGAACTCGCCTAAAGAATGTTCAATAACTATCAAACCACAAGGGATATGGTAATAAAAATTGCAGGAGAATGTAGCTAGAGGAGTTGCCTTTCAAACGCATCTAGCTAATTGCATGAAAATTTAGTAGAAAGCTACGAAATTATTGAAAAACTGAAAAGATACATAACGGTACGCGGTAACGTTCCCGACATCCCGTACTAAAATTGTTAATATCTAGTTATCGAAGGGGTCTAGCGCACTAAAATGTATATGTGAAAGTTGCCCAAGGTCCACTCTTCATTCTCCAACTCTAAAAGTTCACAGAATCATCGTAGTTAATGCGTTATTAATGATTTTTCACCGACCGACTTGATCGAGCATTTGGGATGTGGAGC